TTTCCTTTTCAATGAAGTATAAGGAAATGGAGAAAAACTGATCCTTCATGATCACCAGTGGTATGTGTCAGATAAGGACTGACATCAAAGTGGAGGAGAGGGAAAGCATACACAAGTCTGAGTCATAAGATAAAAAAGGCATCATTCATTTGCTTGAACAATGAGGTGCCTACAAATGACTTCTCGTATGAGTAATATATGTCAAACAATGAAATAAATTTGTCAGTATCTTGTTAGAACTGTAGGTAAAAGCCATCTAGAAAAGTTTCAGATAAGCAAAGAAATAAATTTAATTAGAATCTCTGTTATCTTTAAAGGTTTCAAAGTCATGAAAGTCAAGGAAAAATTGAGGAAGAAGAATTACTCTAGAATAAAAGAGATCACGGAAAAAACGAAGTGAAATGCATGATTCTGACTTGGATTCCTTCTTCCTCTCCCCCTCTTCCTCCCCCTCCCCCTCTTTTTTTTTTTTTTTTTTTGCAGTACTGGGGTTTAAACCCAGGGCCTATACCTTTGAGCCACTCCACCAGCCCTTTTTTGTGATGTGTTTTTTTCTTTTTTCGAGATAGGGTCTCTCAAACTATTTGCCCAGGCTGGCTTCGAACCAAGATCCTCCTGATCTCTGCTTTCTGAGTAGCTAGGATTACAGGTGTGAGCCACTGGTGCCCAGCTTGTATCCATTTTCTATTAAAGAAGGTTGTCGGTTGGTTGGTTGGTTGGTTGGTACTGAGGACTGAACTCAGCGCCTCATGCTTGCTAGGCACTTAAGCCACACTACCAGCACTAAAGAACCTTATTGAGACAACTGATGGAACCTGGAGACTGAAAATTAGATGATGGTAATATATCATTGTTAATTTCTTAAATTGGATGCTTATAATGTGTTTTGTATTTAGAAGTATAGGACATAATATTGCAACTTACTCTCAAGTGTTCATTAAAAAAGTTTTTTTGTACTGTACTTGCAATTTTTCTAGAAGTTTGAAATGATTTTTCAAACACTGAAATCTCTGGGTGTGGGTCTGGGCATAAGTATTTTAAAAATTGCCTGGATGATTCTAATGTGCAAGCTGGGCTGGGAACCACTGTTACAAAGCCTTCATTATCATCATTGAGGAAGAAGGGCTATGTACTTTTCCACTAAGTACATGAACCATAATTTATTTAATCAAGCTCTTCCCCCTTTCCCTTCAGAAACCATGTACTGGATTTAGAGCTTTTACATGTCAGGTAAGAAAGAGTCTCATGTGGAAATACGCATGAGCAAACAGACACTGTGTTGTAATATTAATAACAATTATGACCATCTGTGGAGCAATTATTTGGTAGGCACTATACTACCTGATTATACAGGTACTCTTATTTGTCTTAATTTAACAGAATGAGGAACCCTAGGCACAGTGAAATGAGCAACTTGCCTGGAAACGATTTTGATTCTTGTCTACACTATTATAGTACAGGGAAGCAAAGTGCTATGAAGAGACACACATGGACTTCTAATGCAGACTGTGAGTGTCATGGAAGGTTTCTCAGAGGAGGGACCATAAGGTTCATTGTTAGATATGCACATTATTTCCAATTATAACTACCATTCTATCCAGGAACATCTGTGCAGGTAGCTTCCCATTTTGTAGTCCTGCTGCTAAACCCCCTCCTTTGGTTGTATTCTAAGAGTAGAATTCAGGACAAATTTCATGGAACTCCCAAATCCTCAGGTAATCAATACCTGCTGTCTTTTGTTGTATTAGCAATACAAGGACAACCACTTTACCACATTTTTATCTTAAAAATGCTAGTAGAACACAATTTCTCTGATTATTAGTTAAGCTGAATATTTTTCCACAAATGCTTTCTTTAACACATAAATTTAAGATCTTTATGGTTATAACCAAGTATCAGATAACCTCATCAGTGAAATAACATTGTACAATGACTCATAAATACCGTACTTCCATTTATTCCTATAATCACAACGATGACTTTGTCATGACTAGCAGTGGTATCCAGAGAAATCAGATGTCTATATTCATGCTAAGTTCCTTGAACTTGCAAATTTACTATGAGCTCTATGAAAACAGAGGGCTTTGTCTTGTTTGATTCTGAAATCCTATTACAATGCTTCCAAGTAAACCATGCTTTATAACTGCCATAAAAATATATAGATGAAGTAATGGATGACAGAAAATATAAATTAAACCCATACTTTCAGGACTCTATACATGTTACACATCACATTAGGGCAAATGAAAGAGAAGTAACATACTCTCCTCTTGATATATAGATAGGATGATAATTCAGTTGGTCTGTGACTGTTCTGGCTTATGCTTCTTGTCTTAGAATCTTGTATGACTGGAGCTGCCTTTCAAAAGGATTCCAAATTGGGTAATAAATGTTATGGTCACTATATATTGACAGGGCATTCCCTAAATGGGTAGCAGATCTTAAGAACCAAGTGCTTCTCTCATCAGAAAGTGTATCTTTATGTCATTCTGAATTTCAATTTGAAAACCTAGGAGCAGAAAATGCTTTGGGCCTTTAAGTGTTTTTATAGTACTTGATCATTTAAAGCTAAGTAGCGGTCTACAAATAGTTAATTCCTAACTAAGAGAACATGCCTAGCTCTAACAGTATTCTCTGCTCCCCTTATTGATAAGAAAAATAATCATGAGAAGAAAAGGTAACTTGTCCAAGGTCACATCAAGTATGAATCTGTCACATGTAGAAAGCTATTAGAGCTCAAATTTCTGGTTTGTTTGTTTGGGCAGTATTTAGATTTGAACTTAGGGCCTCATGTTTGCTAGGTAAGTACTCTACCACTTAAGCCACTCCACCAGCCCTAATTTCTGTTTTTGATTGATTCTCTAAACTGCACAGTCACTAATTTGCCATAAAAACTCCAGTGCAGTTAGGTTGAAAAGATTTCTTAATCATTTGATAAATGTCTTTATAAACTGTAGGCAATAATAATCTAGCTCAAATTGTATGAACAAAATCACAATCATAACTTGGTAATATTTTGTTTTGATTTTTGAGAAAGGGTCTCAGCATGTAGCCCAGATTGGTCTTGAACTTATCTCCTGCCTCAGCCTCACAATGGATTAATATTTGTAATGGTATAAATTTCATGTTACTAAGATTTCAGTTTCACTGAGTAACAGTCTCTATTCAAACCTAAAATATGGGTCCTAAACTATCAAAAGGTGAAGGGAATATTTATAAAATAAGTGAATTTACAATAAACATTTGCTTCTTTTGACAATTAAAAAATAAAACTTGTTATATTTTTACATTTAATAAGTATGTTTGAATTTCATACTAAACTGCACAGTTTTGGTAAGATTTTAGTAGATTAGCATTTTCGATTCTAGCAGAAACTCTTGATGGAGCAAATAAAGTGTTCTCTATAGCAACAGAAACAAGCTGATGGTGATAAATGTAACAAACTATGTCCAAGACCCATATGAAAAAAAGAACCTAGGCTTGCATAAAAGAAGAGGCATACATATATGGAACTGGAGAGACTCAGGATCATATACATACCATCCCCATATTAATTTATAAACATATTGACATATCAGTCAAGGTCCTTTTTGCATCTTGTGAAGGTGGAGTAAAAAACTTGGTAGGACACATATAAAGTTCACTTGGAGGAATAAATTTAAGAGACTAACCAAAAAAAAAAAAACTTCTATAAGTAAAATAGTATTTTGATGGCAAAGACTAATGGAATAAAATTAGAATTCCAGAAGCAGCTGTATATACATACAGCAGACTGTATGTATATATATTCAATAAATGATAAAGAACAATGAAATGATGGGAAGAATTTAATATACAATATTGTGACAGCTGGCTAGATCTATACCTCACACAAAATGTCAAATTCCAGGTGGTTTGAACATTTTAATGTAAGAAAAAAATGGGAGCAGGCTTTTCTACATATGACTTCAAAGACAGAAATAATAAAAAGAATAAAATTTTACCACATAAAATAATCATTAAAATAAATATATATTAAGAATATTCACCATTTGGAGTCCTTTATACTATAATGGCTTAAATTTATCATTTATCTTTTAATTTCATTTAGTTTCTTTTGATACAAAAAAATTTTAATAACTATAAGAAGTTAAAAATACCAACTTTTTCTTTAAAATTTCTTTGTTTTTGGTCTACAAATGACTTTCTAAACTCCAAATCAGGCTGATTTTAACTTTCTAAAATAATTCTTTCATTTTTTTTAATTTCTAGTTACTTAAATAGATAAGAGGTTGAAATATGGTTCTGTCTACTATTAATTATTTGATTTGGGAATGTTATTAACCCACTCGAGTCTCAATTTCATTTTCCTGAAAACTCAGACATAATAATACCAGACTACTGGAGTTGCTATGGCAGTTAAAAAAATAATTTTTACAAAGCATTTATCATGGTAAAACCTAGTACATGAAAAGTGCCAATAAATGGAACTATTACCTTTAATGCCATCACTTTGTATATTGATTTCTTAATTTCACTAGAATATCTTCATGATTAGCAACTTATAATAATGGTATTGTCACCTGCCTTAAAAATACATTTCACATAGCTTAATTGATGCTGTAGTTTCTTGGTTATTAAATTACTTTCAAATCATCATCTATGCCAATCAAAAATATCTTAATTCTCGGACAAATATGTAGTTATATATACAGCATCCTATAATTTGGTCTTTGTTTTTTTAAGAGATAGAGTCTTGTTGTTATATTGTCTAGACTGGCATGGAATTCTGTCCTCAAGAGATTCTCTCGTCTTAGCTTCTGGAGTAACTAGGATCACAGGTGTGCTCCCCTGTGCCACTGTGCCTAGCTACACTTTGGTCTTTTAAAGTTTCAGTGTGAGTTATCAAATGGCTAATTTGGGATTATTGTAATCCCAGAATATTAAATAGTTTCTTATGCACCAGAACTGCTGAGATTCTGAGCTTGAACTACAAGTTTTATAATACTTCTTTATCTTACCTCTAACAGGCCATCCTCTGGCAGATCTGTACAGTGAACAGCATTCTGGATCTTAGTTTTACCAAAGATTGCTCTGAGAGTTTCAGGGCGCAAATGCCGGGCAATTTCCTGTTAAATACACATTTACATATACATTAAAGTTAGTCATGTGGCGTTAATAAAAAAATTTGCTATATGAAACACAAATTATTTACACATGGTAGACACTGTGTGTGCTGATTTTTCTTGAAAGCGACATGAATGCATGAAAATTTTGAGCACTGAAAAATTTCCATTTACTTATAAGCCTTTTTCTGTGGCCCAATGTAGTCCATTGTAATTTATGTCAGAGGGCAAACAATAATTACATTTTTATCAATAGATTAATGGAATCGCACAATGGTTCATCATATGAATTTATTTTATTACTGTGAAAAACCTCTGTATTTTATAAACAGTAAAGATCTTCAGGACTTGACTTAATATGAGCCAGTTTTGATGGTATTAAAAGACTTCATTTTTTAAAAATATTACAGTTGTACCTGTTTAGTACTACTTCATCTTTAAGGGGGAAACAAGTCACAAATAGCCCCGAATTTAATGAGGGCTGAGGGTTTTTACCATAGAACACAACAAAACAAGGGGAAGTACAGGGAATGATAACAACTTTGGACAAAAAGCCTTAAATTGAGTAAGACAGGAAGCGAGAACCTAGGGGGCGGAGGTAGAGAGAGACAGTGAAAAGGTAGGTTAATAGATTTGAGCCCAGCTAATGGGATGGATGTTCATGAGGTAGAGGAAGTAAGCTAGAAAACTAAGAGATAGGATGTTTGAGATTGGGCTTAAAAGGTGTGGGAAAAGGGGGTTATAGGGATAGATATTAGCCAATTTTAATTAATAATGATGGCTGGTGCCAAGTTGAGGGCAAGAATGTTGAAGAAAGGAGAACAACAGATTGAGAGGCCAAAGTATTGAATGGATCACCTCTATGGATATGGAAATCAGGAAGAATTGTGATAAGTGTGGTTATGGTGCAAGGACGCTGAGCAACATTCACAATCACTTATTTGATTACAGCCCTGTATCACATAAGGATATTTTGGGTCAATAACATATGAATGTGGGACCATAAAAATATAATGGAGTTGAAAAAATTCACTATCACCTAATGACAACGCAGCCATCACACTGTGGTATTGGTATAAACAAATCTATTCTGTGGCTAGTAATATGCAAGTGTGGCACATAAATTATGTGCAGTTCATAAGTACTAATAGATACTTGATAGTACTAATAAAGGGCTACTATTATTACTAAAGGACTGTTTTATGTACACTATACTATTTTGTATTTTAGAGTATTCTAAAATCCTATTTCTTTTATTTTAGAGTATTCTATAATATTCTTTTTATTTTAGAATTTTACTTCCACTTATTAAAAAAATTAAAGTAACATGCTATGTTATACTGGCAAGAAGCATCACACATCTTATGTTTAGGCTGTCATTTTAGATCCTTTCAAAAAGGTATTGATATAATGATTTTAGTTTTGATCATTACAGAATATCACACATGCATAAAATGTAAAAATATTAAAGTGAAATACTAAAAGTGGAGTAATCCCTCATAGATCATTTTCTCCTTCCATTTTCTGAATGATTTCCCCTAACTATTCCCAGCAGATTCATGTTCCTTCTGTTCCTTGTGCTCTATGGTGAAAAAGCAAACAAAACATCATATATATAATCATCCTCTGTTAAAGGAGCAAAAAATGATTATCAGATACATAAAGGCAACACAAAGTACCAACATACAACTCACTCAACCATGAACGATTCTTCAACGTTATTGCAGTATTTGTAACTGATAGGCTATACTGAAAAAATTTGACTCTAAAGAATATTTATTTCCACAGAGTCAACAGTCTTCAAAACTCCACTAAATTCTCAGAATATTCATTCCCCCATATACCCTTGCCTGCTCAGCTTCACCAAGTGGTTGGTTATTTTACAGTTTGCCATAAATACTAAAAATTCTGCTCAGGTAATCCTTCAGTGGGAGGAAGAATTCTGGCTTAGAGAATGACATCTAAGAAATAGAAAAATGCTCCAAACAGAATGGCAATTAGCAAAAAACTGAAAACAAAGAAGAGAACCTTTATTTAATTAGTCTATGGCTGTGTGCATTTTAAAGAATGTCATTGTTTACCAAATTGGTCTATCCAGCTGATAAAATATGTCTGGAAAAAGAACAAATTGCTTTCATAGTAAGCTGTTCTGTTTCAGTTCTCCATAATATGGAGAGGCATGTAAACATGAAAATGACCTTCCATTTAAAAAACAAATTAACCTAAAAGAGATGTGAAATCTACTAATTATAGAACTTTGAAGATGGAGAATTTTGTGATCAAATATAAAATACTTTCATATAATCTCCCTATATAGCTATCCTTACCTCAACTAGCAAAAACCCCTGGTCCTCCTTATTAACGTTTATACTCTCTCTTCAACAAAATTAGAGATAAGGGCAAAACAGTTCCTGCTTGGAAGTGAGGGGGTGGGGGTGTGAGGGAGAGGGTGGGGGGAAAGTGAGGGGGCAGGGGGAAGGGGGGAGTAATGACCCAATCATTGTATGCACATATGAATAAAGGAAATAAAAAAAACCTTTCATATAATGATTAGTATATTATGGATAATCACTAAGTCACTAGTTTAATTCCAAGGAAAAATTTAAGTACAAGGAGAAAAATTCTTCCCTAAAGTATAGGACAACCATATTAGCAGTGACATAAATATTAAAAGAGGAACTGGCAGAGTTTCAGTCCTGGCAAATCTAAAATAGCTGTAAAACAAAAATTTTAAACAAGGGTAATAAAAAATATCAAAGGCCAACAAAGCCACCATAATTAAAATAGAAAGTATTCATGTTTCCAGTACTGGTTCTCTGAAATAATAAATCTTGCCATTTTAAACAGTGCATGCCAAGTCTTCTCCTTGACTCCTCTGACGTTCAAAAAATATTGAGCTGACTCTCCAACAGCTTTTCCATTGTGCACAACCTTATGCTAACTAATGCAGTTGCAGTTTTATATTCCTGAGAGATAAGCAACATCAGACTAAGTCACAACTTAAGATAATGAAACACAGGGAAGGAATTCAAAGTAGAAAAGAAACCAAGGAAGCGATCCAAAGGCTACTTTCTGCCTGGTCTCAGGATCATTTTGAACCCTTGTAGAGGATTAGAAAGAGTACCTGCAAAATTAAATCCAATTACTTATTTTCTAGTCTCATGGAATGAGTTATCTGGGAGATCACAGCAAATATACTTATTTGCACTGGAGACCTCATGAATTGTATATATATGAGAAATCATTAAAACATCTGGCTTGTGAACTCTCAGTCTTCACATCACACTTTTCATTAAGAAAAAAACTGGCTGTAATGTAAATATTTTGAACCTGAAGAGGGTCACAATTAAGTGTTACTTCAGGTGAAACATTTCAAAAATTCAATTCTGTCTTTTCCATTACATTTCAATAGACCACATGACAAGGTTAACCACTGTCTCTTCTTGGTGTTAGCTACTTCAGCAATAGGCACTGGGTAGAATGAAAATAAAATGTTATTTGACACAGGTGCTATTTTAAAGTGTAAATTTATCTCAATTTATCTCCTGGTTATCCCCTTCTTAAAGAATTGGGGGAAATCTTTGTACTCACTTTTGTATAAAGTACTTTACATTTTAACAAAAATTACAAAGATTCATTTATATAAATTAAGTCTGAGAATGTAAACATTACTACAGAGGGAAATTATATTACTTTTTAGCAAATATTTTCCTATTTGTTTTCTACTTTTTAAAAATACTACATTATAAGAGATTTAAGCTTTGAGGTGTAATAATATTGCTATTAAGAAACTTGAGAGGCATTCTTAATCTCTCTCCCCTAAAACTTCTCCACACAGCAAACCCTACTCCACTTCAATAAAATAGGGAATTAATGCCCAATCTTTGCTATCCTAAAGAAACTTATAGTTCAATACCTGGAAACTTCCCTAAAGGACTAAAATAATGAAATAGATCATAACTATTTTTGGCAATTCTAACACCCAATTCATTGCTGAGTCCTGTCAATACAACTATTAAATATAGCTCCTATCAGTCTACTTCTGCCTCCATTCTGCCACTATATCCTCTCATCATACTGGCATATTTAAATTAACTGGTCTATCTGGTCTCACACATTCCACTACTTCTAAATACACATACTCTCCATAAAGCAATCAGAACAAGCTTTATAAAACATAAGTTGAATCACACTACTTCCTTAAGACCCTCTGATGCTTTGCTTCTTACAAAAATAATCCAACATTTTCAACATGTCTCTAGTCCTGCACCACCTGGCTCTGCTTACCTTTCCACCCTTACCTGAAATGACCTAGTCACATCAGCCCTTTTTCAGTTTTTCCAAAAGTATTGTGTTCTTTCTACCTAAGTATGAAAACACATGCTATTCCCCTTGAATATTCTGGTTCAGAAATTCTTTTTCCTGTCTCAAGAAGTTGATGTTCCTTATAAAAGGTTTATAATCAGCAAAATAAATCAGGTGTGGTCCACTCTGCTGAGTGGTTCTCTCAATCCTTCATTCTACCTTCCCTCTAGATGGAGGTTAGAAATCTAAAAACTACATCACCCAGACACCCTATTGGCTAGAGTTCCTGAGATCTAGGACTTCCAAATAAGAAGAAAGAAGTGAGCAGAGACCCTTTCCTGCTAAGCCCTTCTTGGAAGACAAGGTGGGAGACAGGAGAATTCAGATGCAGTTGTTTTTCATCAGACTTGAGACCTAAGTCTCCAGATTCCTGGGAATGAGAATTAGCAGTGGTAGGATCAGTGGAGGTACTAACATCAGCAATGTGTAGAATGTCTATGTAGGTATGGTGAGTTAAACTTGAAATTAATAGCTCTATGACCCTGACTTAATGTCCTACACCCTCACAATGAATTTGTAAAAACTACTTTCTTGTAGTAAATCATTTTTTAAAAAAATCTCTAAGCTGGTTTCTGTTTTCTGTTCTGAACTCTCAGTCATACTCTGAGTTTTCATCTCTTTCTATTTTGTGTTGGTTT